TAATGGAGTTTTGATCTTGTCACCCAGGCTGGATTGCAATGGTATGATCTCAGCTCACTGCAACCTCCACCTCTCCGGGTCAAGCAATTCTCCTGCCTCAGCCTTCTGAGTAGTTGGGATTATAGGCACCCACCACCATACCTGGCTAATTTTTGTATTTTTATTAGAGATGGGGTTTCGCCATGTTGGCCAGCCTAGTTTCAAACTCCTGATCTCAGGTGATCCACCCACCTCAGCCTCCCAAGCCACCACACCCAGCCACCACTGCTTCTTGAAGTAGATTTCCCAGCACTCCTTTTGCCTTTCTGGTGTCCTAACCATTATATCCTCTGGTCTTTGAAAAGTTGTGGTTTAGACATAGATTTCCACATTAAGAAAAAGTCACCCCAAAAAGCCACTTAACTCTTAAGATGACTCAAGCTCCATCCCATGTGGAAACCTGGGGACAATCCCTCTAGGCTATTCCATCTGAGGAGAGAGAGCTGGGGTATGTATATTCCTATTCCTGTTACCATCTGTTAAGGGCTGTGTCTCTTAGTCTGTTTTATCCTCTCACATTGGAAGATGAGAAGTCTAAGATCAATACACCATCTGATTAGGATTTGGTTTATCTACTTTCAAGATGGCACTATGAACCCTAAGTCCTCCAGAAGGAAGGAAGTCTATGATCAGAAGAGCAGAAAAGAGAGAGAGAGCCCACACCCACAAGTGGGAGAGGGCAGGGACTCACTCTTAAGAGCCTGCAACTCCTACACCCCAAGCATGGAAATAATAGAAAGTCTTGAGTCTCTTCAAAGGACATTCCAAGCAGCTACCTAGCCTTAGGAAGTAAGTAATATGATAAGCAAGGAAGTAGTAATAGCCTAAAACAATAGCCGAATAATCTAGAATCACAGGATGATTGTTTGTATTTTGGTTACCTACAATACATTATCTTTTGTTCTATGAACCTGGACCAATGTGGACATCCCAGCCTCACACGTTTGCTTCCTTGGGGAGTTTATTGGGTCTGTAACACTGTGAGGGGGTAACTTTTATACTGTTCACCAATAATAAATTGCAGCAACTTCAGGCTGCAGACTGCTGATCATGAGAATAAAATCTGTCCTGGATACACTGCCACTGAACTGCAATAGGACCCTGGTTTGCAAATTGGATGCATCATAGATCAGGAGCTCAGAAGCTTTTCCTGGTTTCTCTTGATATCAGGCTAAAACAAGACTAATGCCCTGCCTGACTTGCCTGGCATGTGAAGGTCTCTCTCACCTAGAGAAGCAGACAGAGAGGATGGAGACTGGGTCATCTAGATGTCACATTTGGCTCTGAGATTGAAAACATAAAACTGTTAACACTATTAACCATGTTATGAGAGGGCTTTCCTGAATAACCAGGCAGTACTGACCATACTGACAGAGTAAATTCCTAGTGTTCTCCTTACTTATTTGGGAACCAGTGCAGTAGGAGCCCGAGGGACTGATGCTCGCAAAGGGTGTGACTAGCTTTTGCTTTGTTGAATATGAAAATTTGCCTTTCATATTATGAAATTTCCTTTTCAAAATATGAAAATTTGTTGAATATGAAAATTTGCACATCTGCAAGAATGACTTTATCTCCATGATATTGCACAGGCCTAGTGTCTCTCAGGGGTCCTAAGATTAATCAGGCCTGCATATGCTTGTCTGCAGAAAACATATTTCTTTCTGGGGGCCACAGGTCAGAATCTGTCTATTGTCTTGCAAGTAGATTGCTCTTCTGCTCTATTCATGACCTACTTTTTTTGCTAGCTTCCCATGTAAGACCTGGCTTGTTAGAGAAGCACATCTCCAGAAACCGCAATAAATTTTAGAAGTCTTCTGCATTTGGTACTGATGAATATTATTGAGGCCAGAAAGACTTCTTCTTTTCTCTGATCCTCTAGAGCCCTTAATGTTGTAAATCATCAGCACTATCAGCCAGTGATGCAGTGGGGTATAAGAAAGATGGATAGATACATAGATGGATGGATAGAAGGACAGATTTATTTGTTGAAAAATAAGAAAAATGTTAACATGTAATATGTGAAAATAGTGTAATGTTTTGCAAGGAAGGGTCCAGCCACTAGGTGTGACATAGCTAAGCTGTTATCTCGGACATGTGATTGTCTTCCTCTATTTCTACATTTCCTTTCCTACTTCTTTCATCTAGGCCAACATCAGAAATTTTCTTCCCCCACTTCTGAAAAGTCTCAGCTTCTTTCTAGCTCCGTGTGTCATCATGCATTCCCACACTAGGTATTTCCTGAGTTCCTTGGATTAATATGTGTGTCTTTAATCATTCTTAAGCTAATTTCTTTCAGAAGCTGAGATGTTATATAGACCCAGTGCTCACATCTACTCTTGAATCTACTCTGTTCCATAAACTGTGCATCTCTATATTACCAATCTCTTCCAGTTTATAAGAGAAAGCAGTTCTTAATTACTGGATTTAGGGCATTTGACCAAAGCAGGTTCAGAAAGAAAACCATGAACCAAAATGAAAGGAAGACCAAATTATTGCATGGGGTGTGAAACCCACACAGTATGTAAAGGGCACTTGTGTTGTGGAGTAGAGAGGGAAGCCCACCAGAGGTGTTGAAGCTATAGTGGAGAAAGGAGGATATCCCCACATAGGCGCAGAATGTGGGACACCCTCCTCCCACTAGTGCAGATGTCACAGCTGAAGCAGGATGATCTTGAAACTGGAAGGCGGAGGTTGCAGTGGGCTGAGATCACACCACGGCACTCCAGCCTGGACTCCTTCTCAGAGAAAAAAAAATAAAAAGTCAAAAAACAACAGATGCTGTTGATGTTGTGGAGAAATAGGAAAACTTCTACACTGTTGGTGGGAATATAAATTAGTTCAACCATTCTGGAAGGCACTGTGGCACTTCCTCAAAGAATTAGAAGCAGAAATACCATTTGACCCAACAAGCCTATTACTAGGTATATACTGAAAGAAATATAAACTTTTCTATTATAAAGATGCATGCATGCATGTTTATTGCAGCATGATTCACGATAGTAAAGACATGAATTCAACTCAAATGCCCATCAATGATAAAATAGATAAAGAAAATGTGGTACATATACATCATGGAATACAACGCAACCATAAAAAATAAATGAAATCATGTCCTTTGCAGGGTCATGGATGGAGCTGGAAGCCATTATCTTCAGCAAACTAATGCAGGAACAAAAAACCAAATGCTGATGTTCTCACATATAAGTGCAAGCTGAACAATGAGAATACATGGACACATGGGAGGAACAAACACATTGGGGTCTGTGTTGTGTTGTGTTGTGTTGTGTTGTGTTGTGGGAGAAGTGTTTCTGTGGGAGGAGGGTGTCTGTGGGAGAAGTGTGTTGTGGGAGAAGGGTGTTGTTTTCTCTCATGTGTCCACGTGTTCTCATTGTTCGGCTCCCACTTATATGTACCACACTGCCTTCCAGGTTCAAGTGATTGTTGTGCCACAGCCCTTCAAAGAGCCAGGATTTCAGTCATTCACCACATGCCCAGCTAATTTTTGTATTTTTAGTACAGATGGGGTTTCACCATATTGGCCAGGCTAGTCTTGAACTCTTGACCTCAAGTGATCCACTTATCTTGGCCTCCCAAAATATAGGTGTGAATAACCATGCCCAAATTCTCGTTTTTTGACTTTTTAATAAACGCCATTCTGACCGATGTGAGATGGTATCTCATTCTGGTTTTGATTTGCATTTCTCCAATGATTAGTGTTGTTGAGCTTTCTTTCATATGATTATCAGTTGCACATATGTCTTCTTGTAAGAAGTGTCTGCAACTTTTTAATGTTTTTTTTTTTGTAAATTTGTTTAAGTTCCTTATAGATTCTGGATATAAGATCTTTGTCAGGTGAATAAATTGCAAAAATTTTCTCCCATTCTGTAGGTTGTTGGTTCACTCTGATGATAGTTTCTTTTGCTATGCAGAAGCTTTTTAGTTTAATTAGATTGCATTTGTCAATTTTTGCCTTTGTTTCAATTGCTCTTGGCAACAAAAGCAAAAATTTGCCCAGCTGCAAGAATGTAGAAATTTGCAAAAATTTGCACAGCCACAAGATCATGAAATCTCTGCTTGTGTCTATGTCCTAAATGGTATTACCTAGATTTGTTTTCTAGGGTATTCTTTAATAGTTTTTGGTTTTATACTTAAATCTTTAACCCATCTTGAGTTCATTTTTATATAAGGTGTAAGGAAGGGATCCAACGTGAATTTTCTGCATATGGCTAGCCAGTTCTCCCAGCACCATTTATTAAACAAGGGGGACCTTCCCCATTGCTTGTTTTTGTCAGGTTTGTTGAAGATTAGATGGTTGAAGGTGTGAAGCCTTATTTCTGAGTTCTCTATTCTGTTCTATTTGTCTATGTCTCTTTTTGTACCACTACTATGCTCTTTTGGCTAATATAGCCACATAGTTCTATTTACCATGACTGAATATTATTTTCATGCTATGATTTCAAACTAAACATAGTCTTTGGAAGTACATCCAAGTATATTCTGAGGCCATCACTTAACTGACAAAATCTTAAGAGTTGAGATACGTGACCACACTGGTATGTCAGCTGTCACTTCCTATCATCACTGTCATTCTGGAAGCACATTTGCCAGAAATTTCCTTCTTTGGTTTTTGGAAGAGTTTCCCAGTGAGGGGCCTGCCCTGAGATTGGAAAGTCAGAAGAGGAAGATTCAATACTGTCATTCAACACCTGCAGCAGGACATATTGACAAAGGTGAGGACTGCAGAAGCACCAGGTGAAGTCCTCCAGGCATCTGAGAGCATCTGCACCACCACCATGGGGTTCTCAGAAAGGTCTGAGGACCACATGATTGGCAACTGTACCTTCTCTACCATATGTATTCTGGATTGTGGAAGAGAATTCCTCTTTTCTAGTATTTGCATCTTTGACTACTACACACCCAAGCCTTTTAAAGGCTATAGTTTAGACTCTCATTCCCTGTGTTGTTTTTTTTTTAAATCCTACTTGGAATACCTAGAGTGGCTCACTTTTGCTGTATGAATTCCGACCAATGCCAAAACTGAGACTCCTCAGGTGTAATCATCTCTTCTCAATGAAATCAAGACAGGCATTGCCATGTCAATGCTACTGGGGATGAGGACCAGGAAAGACAGAAAAGATGAAGTGGGCCTTCATGGCCCTTTTACAGAAACTCTCCAGTGACCTTCTCAAATTGTGACTGCAATTTGAGAAACACTCTCAGCAGATGGAGGCACCAGAAGGAGCATCTGGGACAGCTCAGCCTCACACATCTGCTCCCCTGGTGGTTTATGTTAGGGCTTGTAACACTGTGGGAGGGAGATTATCATACTGTTGACAGTAATATGTTGCAATATCTTCAGGCTGCAGACCGCTGATGGTGAGAGTAAAATCTGTCCCTGATCCACTTCCACTGAACCTTGATGGGACCCCTGTTTCCAAATTTGATGCCCTATAGATCAGGAGCTTAGGGGCTTTCCCTGGTTTCTGCTGATACCAGGCTAAACAGCTGCTAATACCCTGACTTGCCCGGCAAGTAATGGTGACTCTGTCTCCTACAGATGCAGACAGGGAGGATGGAGACTGGATCATCTGGATGTCACATCTGGCACCTGAGATTGGAATCATAAAAACAAACATTCATACAATCATGTTATAAGACGTTCTCCCTAAACATCCAGCCCAGTACTGAGTACACTGGCTGAGTAAATTTCTAGTGTTCTCCTTCCTTACCTGGGAGCCAGAGCAGCAGGAGCCCCAGGAGCTGAGCAGGAGCCCTCATGTCCATGCTGTGTCCTGACTGGGACTGACTCCTGCACAGGGTGTGGCCAGCCTATTAATAAGTCTGCAGAGCAAGGGGCTGTGTTCTGGGACATGCAAATCAGCAGGGTATGGGGCAGGCTGGGCACAGCTGCAGGGCTGGCTCATCTCAGTAACTCAGTACAAAGGCAGTGTCCTCAGGATTCCAGGTCAGACCAGAGCAGCACAGATTTGTGTGTAAATAACATGTTTCTTCCTGGGAGCTGTTTTGTTACAAAGAATGTTTTTGAGTTAATGTCAGAATTTGAAATATTCCTGATGACTAGATGAAGTAATGTATTTTGCTGGTGTATAGAGATTATTATTATTATTATTTTGAGATGGAGTTTTGCTGTTGTTACCCAAGCTGGAGTGCAATGGCGCGATCTCAGCTCACCGCAACCTCCGCCTCCTGGGTTCAGGCAATTCTCCTGCCTCAGCCTCCTGAGTAGCTGGGATTACAGGCATGTGCCACCATGCCCAGCTAATTTTTTGTATTTTTAGTAGAGACGGGATTTCACCATGTTGACCAGGATGGTCTCGATCTCTTGACCTCATGATCCACCCACCTCGGCCTCCCAAAGTGCTGGGTATTTTTTTTTTAAATATGATATACACTCAAATAGAAGACAGTTCATTGTGCTGTACTTACAACATTTCTGTTAGCATAGAATTATTCTATTTTTGGAAAGGAAATTAAAAAGGAATTGTACCAAGATTGCAATCCCTGTCTATACCCTATGTCCTTCCCTTTTCTTGTACTGCTGCTGACTTCCAGTGGCCATCTATGCATTTCACTGCTCTTTCTGAAGCTGGAGAACGTGGCTCTACCTGTATTCATAGCAGACTACAGGGACTCAAATGAGCCTCTCTTTGGACAGTGCTATAAGTTTACTGTGTCCCTCAAAATCCATCTGTTGTTAACTTCACCCTCAATGCAAAAGAATTGGGAGGTAGAGCCTATGGGAAATGTTTAAGTCATGAGAGCTCTGCCCTTATGAATGGATAAATGCTGCTATTAACAGGGCTTGTGTTATGGAACCAAACTGGAGTCCACTCACTCAGCTCAGTAAGATCAGATATTCACACTGAATTTGCAGCAGGAGAAAGTAAGATTTTTTTTCTCTCTCTCTTTGCAGGGCATCAGGTAAAGAGAATTTGAGGCTCAAATCCTGGCCTCACTGATGGCTTACAGGTAAGAGTTTTTTAAGGCAGGGGTAAATTTCAGGAAAGCAAAAATTACAGGTAAAATTAAAAATTAATACATGGAGGTCACATATTGGTTTTGGCCTACAAGGGCAAGATATCTTGAAGCAGGGGGCTACAAATCAAGGGTAGATTAGAAGATTCCTCATTTGCAATTGGTTAAGGAAGAAAAGCTTTGTTTAAAAATTTGGATTCAGCAGAAAAGAACATTAGCTCTGGTTTACAGATATGACTTTCACCAGGCCCCACAGTAAGAAATTTAGAACAAAGAACCATGGTCAGAGCTCAGTCCCCATTTTCCCTTTTTATGAGGTCTATGTGGTGGCAGATTCATTTGGAGGGGTCTTGTTTTCCAAAAAACAACTCAGAAACATATATCAAAATGTCACTTCAGTTTCTAAAGGGGACCCAACCAACCTATGATTCTAGCTTATTTGGCTGTTGTTTTTGGCTACTATTACTTCCTTGCTTATCATGTTATTTACTTACTTATTAATGATAGGTAAGTGCTTAGAATGTCCTTTGAAAATACTCAAGATGTTCTATCATTTCCATGCAGGCTTCTAAGAGTGAGTCCCTGCTCTCTCCCACTTGTGGGTGTGGGCTCTCTCTCTCTCTTTTCTGCTCTTCTGATCATGGATTTCCTTTCTTCTAGAAGACTCAGGGTTCATAATGCCACCTTGAAAGTAGATAAACCAAATCCTAATCAGACAGTGTATTGATCTTAGACTTCTCATCTTCCAATGTGAGAGGATAATTGTCTGTTCTTTATTAATCACAGTTTGAGGCATTCTGTTATACCAAGACAAAACAGACTAAGAGACATAGCCCTCAACAGATGATAACAGGAGTAGAAGTATACATACCCCAGCTCTCTCTCCTCAAATGGAATAGCCTAGAGGCATCATCCCCATGTTTTCACGTGGGATGGAGCTTCAGTCATCTTAAAAGTTAGGTTGCATTTTGGGGTGACTTTTACCATCCATCTTCTATTTCCTGCTTTACTTTTCTACTCCTTACCAGTGTAGATAGGCTGCCTGCAGCAAATTCCTTCATGCTGGTGAACCCAATTCAAGATAAGAAACAAAGCCCTACTCTTGGAAAAAGGTATATTTGCTCTGAATTCTTATCCCTTTTCCTTTCTTGGTGCACAAGAAAATCCAGGAAGCACTTCATTTCCCTTTACCAATGTATCTTAGATTTGATTTAAGCAGTTGATTTCTTCTGACTCACAAAACAAAAGGAGCCTTTAAAATAGCTACACATAGCCAGGTGTGGTGGCTCACAAATATAATCTCAGCACTTTGGGAAGATTAGGTGGGCAGATTGCTTGAGCCCAGAAGTTCGAGACCAGCCTTGGCAACGTGGCAACAAAACTCCATATCTACAAAAAAAAAAAAAAATACAAAAAATTACCCATGCTGCTTTAGTTCCATTACTCTGGAAGCTGAGGTGAGAAGATTGCTTGTGCTTAGGAGCTGGAGGCTTCAGTGAGACGTGATTGCACCAATGCACTTTAGCCTGGTCCACAGAGTGAGATTCTGTCTCAAGAAACAAAACAAAACAAAACAAAATTCCACAAAGCTACATACCACGAATTCCACATTAGAGGCAGTGAAATAAATACTTCTCACCCTAAAAGCCTTAAGTCAGAGGGTCTCCAAGTCTCAGATTGTTTCCAGCTCTCTTACCTCATCAGTCTTGTGATTCTTTTATTCTACTTTAAGAGAAAACAGTTGTGGAAAATCATAAGTGTTGTTAACACAATAAATATTACCTCACCCCAAAGACATTCATGTCTTCACATCTGAAGTCTGTGAATGTTACCTCGTGTGTCAAAAGAAACTTAGCAAATGTGATTAGATTAAGATGTGTGAGGATAGGAGAGGGTCCTGGATTATCTGGTTGAGAGAACATAATCAAAAGATCCTATACTAGGGAGGTAGGAGGGTCACAGCAAGAGAGCAGCTGGAACTATGAAGAGGGATGCTTGAGTAATGTAATGGGTGATGAGGCTATAGAACAGACAAGGTCGGGACATCTTAAAGATGAAAATCAGAAAATCAAATTCTCTTCCCTTGGAACCTCCAGAAGGAATAGAGCCCTACTGACTCCTCAATTTTAGCTCAGAGAGACTTCTGACCTTTAGAACTATAGGATAATACATTTGCGTTGTTTCAATCCAGTGTAGCTATGGTAAATTGTTACATCAGCAATAGAAAACTAATGCAAGAGGAAGAGATGGCTTCTGTCTTTCTGAGTGCATGGTTGACCTCTGTTCTCCAAAGTATTTCCACCTTGCTGTCACTTGTCAATTTTGACAAGAGTCAACATTGTAAGGGGAGGTAGCACCAGAATTCTTCTAAGGTAGAAAATGTTAACATTTTCTTTCTGATGAGGACTCTCTCTGATGGGGCATCTCTTTGCAGATGCCACCTTCTGGCCATGCCCCACATTACTGTCCCTCAGGGCATGCAGGGAGGGCGGGGGGTGGGAGAGAGCTCTATGGGGTCTCTTTTTATAAGGACGCTAATCCTGTGGTATCAGGTTCCTGCCCTGATCACCTCTTTAACCCTAATTACTTCCTCAGACTCTCTCTCCATATACAGCCGTATTGGGGTAAGAGATTCCAAATAGGAATTTGTGAAACGTAATTCAGTCCACAACAGATGGGCTTTGGCAACACAGCCAAGGCAGTTGGAAAAGGGCAAGATCAGGCTTCCTCTCTGAGGACTAGGGATTTTCCCACCACTAAGCACACTAGCAGGTCTTCCCAGGTGATCCATGTCACACAGGAGACCCCAGCCCAGCCTTAGGGGCTCTCTGTTGATAATGAGACACTATCACTTTTACTTTCTCATTACTTCTAAGACTAGGTTTCTATCTTTTGTCTACTATGATGTTTGTCTGCCATCTAACGGCGGTTTCTAATAGAGCATCTCACAGGATTTTAGATGCTAGGGTCCAATGAGTGTTGACTATGAATGCATCTTTTCATGGGTATTCATGGAGTTGATCCTATTACATCTGTCAGTAGGCCAGATTTTATAGAAAACACAAAATGGTCCCCCCTTAATAAACTAGTTATCTAGTTGAGGACAAAGGATATATAGGAACAATATTTGTCTCAAAACAATTAGAGTGGCTAGATTCTGCAATCCATGTGAGACACCAAAGGTGTGGTTTTGGAAAAAAGAGGGTGCACTGTGTAAGACCCTGTAGGACAAAATGGCAGGGGCTCGGGTGAGACTGCAGGCTCCTGGTTTGGATGTTAACACAGCCTCATTCCTATCTTCCCAGAAACCCTTTCAGAGCAGCTCTGAGAACCACAGTAGCTTTCCAAGCTGAGGAAGCATCTGGGGACACTTGACCTTCTAAAAGAACAACTGCTGAGGTTTGTGCTCTTGGCTTTAGCACTGTGAGTAATTAGATGTCATCATTTAGGTTTGTGCTAAGCAAAATTATTTCCTAAGATTATGAACATGTCTGTATTTATGAAGTGCAATAGGCTAGTCACTAGTCATATGTGGCTACTGAGCACATGAATTGTACCTGATGTAACTGAGAGGCTACATTTTTTAATTTTAAGTGTTTCTAATTTACATTTTAATTTTAAGTATTTCTAATTTATATGTTTGTGGCTATGCATCGTTAGTGTTACCATGTTTACCATGTGGAATAGCACAGTTTTAGACAATAATAACCAGTAATGTCATCAAGACACCCTGCCTTGTGTTTTTTTGTTATTACATTTTAGGTTTACACCCTACCTTGTGTTTTTTTAAATTACATTTTAGGTTTTGGGGTACATGTGAAGAACATGCAAGATAGTTGCATAGGTTCACATGTGGCAGTGTGATTTGCTGCCTTCCTCCCCTTCACCCATCCCATATCTGGTATTTCTCCCCATGCTATCTCTTCCCAACTCTGCCCCCCGCTATCCCTCCTCTATTCCTCCCAATAGACCTCAGTGTGTAATGCTCCCCTCCCTGTGTCCATGTGTTCTCATTGTTCATCACCCACCTATGAGTGAGAACATGCGGTATTCCATTTTCTGTTCTTGTGTCAGTTTGCTGTTAAGCAAAGCTGTGACCCAGGACCACTGTACCAAGCTGGGGTGGACCATGGCCAAGGTAGACAGAGCACATGGGTGGATCTCAGGAACCTTCCCTGGATTCTACCGTTTCCAGGCTGTTGATGAAAAATATCTCTCTTGGAGACACTGATTGGGAAGCTGGAGACTGGGGCCCACATAGTTGCCAATAGAATCTGAGGTAAAAACAAAACACAGACCTCTCCAAGTTAATTACTTCCTTCTCCATAGGCTTCCCAGCAGAGTCCTGCTGGCTGATCAAGTGGGAAGTGATCAGTCCCATGGGACATATGAATGCTGTCACATGGAGAGTTCATATGACTTCTGGCCTTCTGGGTTCTGGTTCCCAGAGCTAAAGCCAGGGAACCAGAACCCAGAGAGCTAGAGCCCAAGCCCCATGTCCAGTGTCCAGTGCTGCCCTGCCTAAGGTGATCCCAACTCAAAGGCAGCGGCAGACCCATTGATTAGGGTTTGAGTGTCAGGGAAGGGCTTTGGGGAGCCTGCAAACTAGCAACAAGGGAAAGACCTGGGCTTCCAGCTTCTGAGCCAGGGAACATTCTATGCCATGAGTATGACACAGGCCAAGGTGTTAAAAGAAAGATATTATAGTAAATTCTATGTTTACAGGAAAAAGAATCACAGAAGGCATCTGATTATTTAGCACTTGTTGGCTTTTTCAATGCACAGCAGTTTGTCTAAAATTTCCCAGTCCCTGTCCTTCCCATCATGATCCCTTGGTCTTTTCTGTTTCTGTGGTCACTTGGCTGCCTCCTCACCATTCAGATGAATCTTCAGTACGACCCTGGGGCCTTCCCTGATCAGCACAAAGAAATGGCCTCAGCCTCCAGATACCACATACCAATGACCAGTTTTTACACAATTTGTCAACTACTGAAATTATTCTATTCACTTTTATTATGTGGTTATTATTCCCTGCTTGACACTTTCCTCTACTGAATATCAGTACCTGAGATCACAAATTGTCTTAATTACTCATGTGTACCTAACCTTCACTCAATGGCTTTTACTTGCTCTGAAAATGCTGACATTAAGTGAAAACAAATTGAATGAAAAACTATGTGTGTTCTACTTAATTGGAAAAAAATATGGCATATTTTTCTTAACTAAAGACATTTAATGGGGGGGATCCAAGATGGCTGAATAGGAACAGCTCTGGAGTGCAGTTCCCAGTGAGAACAACAAAGAGGGTAAGTGATTACTGCATTTCCAAACAAGATTTTACCGCCCACAGACCAGGAGATTCCCGGGCTGAAAAGTCCCATGAGTTTCTAGCATGGCTGTTTCAGCCAGCACAGTGGATCTCTGCAAAAAAACTCAGACAAATATTGGGGGCCATTTCAACTGGTGCCCGGAATGCCTGGGAGACAGAGCTACTCATTCAATTGAAAAAAAGGTGGCTGAAACAGGGAGCCAGGTGATCTCCTTAGGGGTCTTCACTCCCACAAAGACCAGCAATCTGAAAAGCTCTGGATTGAGGCACCAAATTCAGCTGGACCCAGGAGGGCCCAGCATTGTCAGGGAAGGGTGTCTGCCATTACCGAGGCAGTCCACCACTACCTAGGCAGTTCACCATTACTGAGGCAGTTCTAACGATGCCTCTATAAGCAAAACTGCAAGGAAGCTCTCACAGCAGCTGGGCAGAGCCCACGGCAGCTCAGCAATGCCTCTGCTGGCAGACTATGACTAGGCTACCTCCTTGCTGGGCAGGACATCTCTGAAAAAAGGCAGCAGCATGTCAGGAACTTATAAATAAAGCCCCACCCTCCCAGGACAGAGCACCTGGGAAAAAAGATGGTTATGAGTTTTGCTGAAGCAGACTTAAACGTACCTGCCAAGCAGCTCTGAATGGCAAAATGGAGATCCCAGCTTGGCACTTGAGCTCCTATAAGGGACAGACTGTCTCCTCAAACAGCTTCCTGAACCCCATATATCCAAAGAGTCACCTCATAGAGGAGAGCACAGACTGACATCTGATGGATATCTTTCTGGGATGAAGATAACAGAAGAAGAAACTGGCAGCAACCCTTACTGTTTTGCAGCTGCCACAGGTGATCCCCAGGAAAGGAAAGTCTGGAGATCCAGCAGTCCTAAAGCAGAGGGGCCTAACTGTTAGAAGGAAAACTAAAAGAACAGAAAGAAATAACTTCAACATCAACAAAAAGGATGTCCACTCAGAGACCCCATCTGAAAGTCACCAACTACGAAGACCATAGGTAGATAAATCCATAAAGATGGGAAGAACCAGTGCAAAAAGGATGACAACACTGAAAACCAGAATACCTCTCCTCCTCCTAGGGATCACAACTCCTCACCAGCAAGGGAACAAAGATGGATGGAGAATGAGTCTGATGAATTGACAGAAACAGGCTTCAGAAGGTGGGTAATAACAAATTTCTCTGAGCTAAAAGAACATGTTCTAACCCAACGCAAAGAAACTAAGAACGTTGAAAAATGGTTGGATGAAATACTAATGAGAATAAACAGCTTAGAGAAGAATATACATGACCTGATAGACCTGAAAACATGACATGAGAACTTTGTGAAGTATACACAAGTATTAATAGCCAAATCAACCAAGCAGAAGAAAGGATATCAGAGATTGAAGATCAACTCAATAAAATAAAATGAAAAGGCAAACTTAGAGAAAAAAGCATGAAAAGAAATGAACAAAGGCTCCAATAAATATGAGATTATGTGAAAAGACCTAATCTACATTTGATAGGTGTACCTGAATGTGACGGAGAGAATGAATCCAAGCTGAAAATACACCCTTCAGGATGTTAACCAGGATAACTTCGCCAACCTAGCAAAGCAGGAAATACAGAGAACACCACAAAGACATTCCTCAAGAAGGGCAACTCCAAGGCACATAATAGTCAAATTCACCAGGGTCGAACTGAAGGAAAAAATGCTAATGGTAGTCAGAGAGAAAGGTTGGGTTACCCACAAAGGGAAGCCCATCAGACTCACAGCAGATATCTCAGCAGAAACCCTACAAGTGAGAAGAGAGTGGGGGCCAATATTCAACATCCTTAAGGAAAAGAACTTTCAACCCAGAATTTCATATTCAGCCAAACTAAGCTTCATAGCGAGGGAGAAATAAAATCCTTTACAAACAAGCAATTGCTGAGATATTTCATCACCACCAGGCCTGCCTTACAAGAGATCCTGAAAGAAGCACTAAACATAGAAAAAAGAAACAACCCATACCAGCCACTCCAAAAACGTACCAAATGGTAAAGACCATTGACACAATGAAGAAACTGCATTAACTAATGGGCAAAACAACCAGCTAGCATCAAAATGGCAGGATCAAATTTACACATAACAACATTAACCTTAAATGTAAATGGGTCAAATGACCCAATCAAAAGACACAGACTGGCAAATTGGATAAAAAGTCAAAGCCCATCGGTGTGCTGTATTCAGGAAACCCATCCATGTGCAAGGACACAAACAGGCTCAAAATAAAGGGATGGAGGGGATTTACCAAGCAAATGGAGAGAAGAAAAAAGCCAGAGTTGCAATCCTAGTCTCTGGTAAAATCGACTGTAAACCAACAAAGATCAAAAGAGACAAAGAAGGGCATTACATAATGGTAAAAGGATAAATCCAACAAGAACAACTAACTATCCTAAATATAAATGCACCCAATACAGGAGTACCCAGATACATAAAGCAAGTTCTTAATGACATACAGAGAGACTTAGACTTCCACACAATAATAGTGGGAGATTTTAACACTCCACTGTCAATATTAGACAGAAAATTAACAAGGATATCCAGAACTTGAACTCAGACCTGGACCAAGCAAACCTGATAGACTTCTACAGAACTCTCCATCCCAAATCGACAGAATACACATTCTTCTCAGCACCACATCACACCTACTCTAAAATTGACCACATGACTGGAAGTAAAGCACTCCTCAGCATATGCAAAAGAACAGAAATTATAACAAACAGTCTATCAGACCACAGTACAATAAAATTAGAACTCAGAATTCAAAAACTAACTCAGAACTGCACAGCTTCATGGAAACTGAACAACTGGTTCTTGAATGTTGACTGGATAAACAATGAAATGAAGGCAGAAATAAATATGTTCTTTGAAACCAATGAGAATGAAGACACAACATACCATAATCTCTGGGACAGCTTTAAAGCAGTTGTCCAGAGGAAAATTTATAGCAATAAATGCCCACATGAGAAGCAAGGAAAGATTTAAAATTGACACCCTATCACCAAGATTGAAGGAGCTAGAGGAGCAAGATC